TTTTTAAGTGGGAGAACTTGCACAATTGGTGGCTGACTAAATACTTTTTTGCCCCACTATAGTTTGTAGCTCAAATATCTTCTGGACTCATTGCTGTCTGTGGAAACAAAGGATTGCAGCAGTAACCAAGAACACCTATTATCTTTGGTTTGGAAAGTTAGGTCTGAGCCCATTTAAGGAAATTTATATCTGCTATTCAAATTCTCTAGCTGAAGTTGCCCCTGGAAACTTCAGTTTATATGCAGTGTAGCCACTTGAGTCTTTGTTGTGGCAATACAAGCCAATAGTAGCTTTGTATACTTTTACTAGTTACCAATGTGTTTCTTGCAATGGTATGTGAGAAAGACCTTGAGAAACAAGGCAAAGAGATGCTGCCTAGGGAATGGTCAGATAAGGGAGGGCATAGCCTGCAGCTGCATAATGGGTAGAGAAAGAGACTCTCAAATTATTTTTGCTTGCTTGCTTGCTTTTTATTCCAAATGAGTACTCTCTACCAAATGAGTACTCCAGCCAGGAAAGAAGTGATCACTATATAGTGCTGTGTGCTACCATGGGAGACTATAATTGTGGCTAATAGATTTTTTTAAAAGTAGAAATATTGCCATAATTAGTTTCAGTAATTGAATTTGTCTACTTGTTTTGTTAGGCTTTATTTTCCTAATCAGTGTTGGTATTTGTAGTGAATAAAACAACATTTCTGCAGTGGTCTATATCCTGTCTGATGGTATCAGAAATTCTATTAAGTTAATGATACTACTTTTACATTAAATTAAAAAGGTGTTTAAGAAACTTCTGGAAAAGAGAACTGAAGCTAAATTTCCCAGTTAAAGAGAATGTTTTACTACCTATAAAGTTTGTCTTGAATGCAATGTGAGTTGTATTTGTTTGTATTTTCATGTCAGGTTTTGAATATTTATTATACCTTTCCTGGTGTAATAACTAAAATAGTGACATGCAATAAACTGTTCTTTCTTTCTTTTAACAAGAAACTTTGAATAAAATGTGAGGTGTTCAAAATTGCCATTACCATCCCATATATTCATTTTTCTTTCTCGGCAATTTTGAACACCTCACATTTTATTCAAAGTTTCTTGTTAAAAGAAAGAAAGAACAGTTTATTGCATGTCACTATTTTAGTTATTACACCAGGAAAGGTATAATAAATCAAAAACATTCTACAAGTATTATTTGCCAGTGATGGGCAATTTTGACCATAGTGGAGCATTTTCACACCCCATTGATTTCAGCAGTAAAATAATGTGAAAATAATTCTCCTGCAACTAGAATTAATGGGAGTTACAAATTATTATGGTCCCTGGGCCATACCCTAATTTTGAAACCTGAGAGTAAATGTACTTTACTAAAATAATCTTCAGATTATTGACTATAAAAGTAAGATTTGATGAACATAAAAATGTAGTTTATGTTACAAACTAAGTTAGGAAATAAAATTACTTTAGAGAAATTAGTATTCAGCTCATTTGCCATACAGGCATCGCCAGGTTCTCAATTCACTCTTTATTATTCTCTGTCTCCTTTCAGGGCCACTTCAGGATTGATTTTCATTTAAAACTACAGTATTCTTTCTTGTCGCATTAGTTGCTCATGTTTTATCAGGTAGACGTAGCTTATATGGAATAGAGAGAATCTACAAGTCATGAGAACTACAAGGGTTTACTTTTCCTCTGGCATTTGAAAGCTGGGAAGTTTGGTTTTATAATATGTTTGTACCATATTTTTGAATTCTTTGAGATGATAGAGAAAAAATGCTGATATTATCAGGAATGTATTTCATAAAATGGATTACACTATTTCCATAGCCTAGTTCAACAAAGTAATCAGAAGGATGAAAAGATTATTTCTTTTGCACTCGTAGGGGAAAGCTAGGTTGAAAATCAGCTCACATTTATTAAGCATACAGTATATCTACATTAAGCAAAGCATGCCATTGGGAAAAGGATCTGCAGGAGACAGCTACAGCTTAAATATTAGGATTAGATTGACTGTAGTTTTATACCATTGCAATTCCAGGCAACTTCTAATGGTGACATCATAAAATCAACACATAAAAGAATAAAAGCAGGATAAAATCTAGTTAAAAATAATAATGTAGTGAGCATAATACTGATTATGTCATTCTCCAAATGCCCTTTGGAATAAGTCTGTCTTAAATAGAGTAACTGCTGGAAGGCCAGCAGTGAGTATCCTTGGAGGGAGAGAGGCTATTCCAGAGTACAGGAACCAAAACCAAGAAACACTCCCCACAAGAACCTTCTCTGTTGCAGCACCTACTCTGTGAAGCAGCATCCCCAGGAGATCCAAATGCACTTACCCCTTTAGCCTTTTGTAAGGCATTAAAGACCTGGTTATTCCCCCAGGCTTTTGGGCCAGGAACCTAACCATGCCTAGTTGGCTGATCTGTTTGGTTCCAGTCCCTAGACTAGAAATGGAATGTTCTTAGACCTCACACGTAAGTTTATATTTATTTTGTTTTTTCTGGTTATTTATATTGTGTTTTTGTTTCAGTTTTAATCCTTGTTCACCTAGAATCACTGTATTATAAGACGGGCAGCTGTATAAATGGAATACAGGTAGTTCCAGGGTTAAGTGTGCCTGGGTTACAGATGACCCATGGTTAAGAACGGAGCCTATTGTAGCAAAATTCAAGTTAAATACACAATGATTTGAGCCAAATAGACAACGGTTCGAGTTCATTACACAATACTACTTACACAGTATTATACAATAATACTGTTCCAGCTTACATACAAATACAACATAGGGACGGACCTTGGGAACGGAACTTGTTTTCAAACTGTGGACTATGTGTAAATAAATGAAATATCAGACAATCCCCCGCTCCTGTTTACCTCTTGGATCTGGGGAACAATTAGAGAGTAGAACATGAGTCACTGTTGCCATTTTAAAATGGAAGGTAACAAACAGAAGCACTCAGAAGTCTGGGTTAGTGATGAATGAGTGTACTGTGTTGTGTTTTGTCCTGTATTTTATCTAGGATATTTTTTGAAAACTTAGCAGACACAATAGTCTGATCAAAATTTGAAAAGCAAAAGCAAAATAATATAAACATTATTTCTCCCTTGCTTAGTTTCTTTATTACCTACTTCTTCAAAATAGTCAACCATCCGTTGAATAAGATTTTAATTCCTGTCAAAAGATTTAATTTCCCTGACATCCCAGAAGCTGGGCTACAAAGAACTTTGTTCAGTACATGACCAAACACCCCAAGCCATCATTACTGGCCAAACCAATATATGTCAGATGATTTATCCCAGAAGCATAGTATAGTACAGCA